ATAAAAAAATTAGCTAGGCGTGGTGGCAGGCACATGTAATTCCAGCTACTCAGAAGGCTGAGGCAAGGAATTGCTTGAACCTGGAAGATGGAGGTTGCAGTGAGCCAAGATTGCGCCACTGCACTCCAGCCTAGGTGACAGCAAGACTCTGTCTCAAAAAACAAAACAAAACAAAAGGGCATGCTCAGATTGCTATGGATACTTAAAAACTGGAAATGGAGTTGAATCTTTATTATGTCTTTGAATCTCCACGACTTTAACGAGTGTTTCAAAATTCTAAATTATTTTATTCATTTTAATTAAAAAGCAAATCGCTACCACTTACTCTTAAGAAGATCAGTATAGTGGCAAACAGAATATTTATTCTTAGCCTTGGGCCTTGTAGTTTTTGATCAGATACATGTCTTTACAAAAATATAATCTTGAATATGAAAAATCCATCACCAGTTAAAATTTTTACCTCAGAAACTTGCCTGCTACACAAAATTAGTCAAAGTTGCCTGTGGAGGATGTAAGTGAAACTTCATATAGAACATATTTACTACTTCACTAATTCTAGTCCAGTGTATGCCCCAAAAACATTCTTTACTAGAAGAATTAATAGTCATAGCACAGTTGCACAGGCAGGTGTTCAAGAGTTGGTGCTATTCCCCTACTTGCTCTTTTCATTTATTAATACAGGGTCCAGATTGGCTCTTACTGGCTTCCATACCCCAAAGCTTCCAAACAGCTGTCAAAGCTTTGGTTCAAGGAATTTAAACTCGTGTCTCTCTGCAAAACCAATTATATACACCAACTGCCTAAACTCTACTTCATGCCCCCTCTTTACATCAGACGTAGCACTCTTAATGTCACTAGAGGCCAGGCAGGTAATACCCATGAACAGCATGGCAGGTAATGCATATGCATATATGGTGTAAGCAGGAGAAGCAGAGGAAGGGAAAAGCAGCTTTTTGGCTCCAATGATTGCCACAGTGTATGAGCTTGCAATTTCAAGCCAGAAGTTCAACATCTCATATATACTCCTGAATGTTTAAATGTTAATCTAAGTTTCTTTGTTGTTTAAGAGCACTATGTAGGTCAAGCAGGTCACCAGCTCTCCATTTCTGTTAATACACTGTTAGTGTCATCTTCTGAACAGCACTAGTTTGGTATGCTAAATTTTGCAGGATTATTTTCATAAGTGTAACATCACTCTAAGGATGGGCGAGGCAGAATATTCCTTAACGCCTTAAATACCAACAGTGATCTCTTTTTCAGGCAGCCTAGATGGACTCATGGACTAATGCCATCCAAGGTAGAGCTGCTCACTTATGATCACAAGGTGCCTTTCTTCCCGGGAAATCACAGAAAAAACTTCTTTTCTTTCCCATAGCAGTTCCACCCTAAGTAGGTGCTTACCCGTTTGTCAATGTCATTGTGCTGAAGCTGCACAAAGCGAGCACTGATGGCTGCAATGTAACTCTGCTGATTGGAGAATGCTACGCGGCCAGCACCTTTGGGGTACTTCAGCTCTGGGTCTGTATCAATGCCAGCATAGCAGACACCACCGTACAAACGGTCCATAATCATTGCCAGCTCAACTGCAAAGAAACAAAACATGGATATGTATAAATATTTGGGAGGTACTCTTGCCCAGGAGAAGCAAGAATTATTTGGAGATCATGCAGTGTAAGTTAAGAAAAGGAAAACCCATGTTAAATATCATGAAGAATGTCCACACCAGTCTTACAACTCAAGTAGGGAAGGTCCTCAGAGGGTGTTTTGAAATAAAATGGAAAAAAAAAAATTAGGAATTTACAGACGCACACACAAGAATTTATATAATCAGAACTTTAGCAGTAGTACTGAAGACATGAACTACCAGTAATCTTCCTGTTCTAATTTCTAACTGCTTAGTCCAGTGGAATGCGCCCTGGGTAGGCAAGTCATTTTATGCTGCTCTAACAAGTTAATAAGAAACAGTCCTACTTACTAACCTCTAAGACTAAAAGCAATTGCTAGTGTCACATTGCTATATTAGGACTAAGTGATAGAAAGGATTAACTGTTTGTTTTAAGTAGAGACAATTAGTTTACAGCCTTAAATATCCACAATTTTAAAAAAATAAAGATTTTAGAGTATATTCTATCCCAACTGAGAATCCTCCATATTAACCTCTCCTGTTAAATTCTAAATAATAACACTAGTAATGATAATAGCCACAATAAACATTTACTGAGCACTTACAACATACCACAGAGCATAAGGTGCTACACAAATAGTAAAAACATACCCATGGGGCACCTTGCTATAGATCCAGAATTCTGGCCTGTACTCTTTGTCGCATTTATTCTAAATGTGCCGTGGTTTGTTTGTTTGTTTACTGAGACAGGGTCTCCCTGTGTCACTCAGGCTGGAGTATAGTGGTGTGATCTCAGCTCACTGCAGCCTCCCTGGCTCAAGTGATTCTCCTGCCTCAGCATCCCAAGTAGCTGGGATTACAGACATGCATCATCACAACTGGCTAATTTTTTGTTTTTTTTGTTTTTGTTTTTGTTTTTTTTGAGACAGAGTTTCGCTCTTGTTACCCAGGCTGGAGTGCAATGGCGCGATCTCGGCTCACTGCAACCTCCGCCTCCTGGGTTCAAGCAATTCTTCTGCCTCAGCCTCCTGAGTAGCTGGGACTACAGGCACGCGCCACCATGCCCAGCTAATTTTTTTGTATTTTTAGTAGAGACGGGGTTTCACCATGTTGACCAGAATGGTCTCGATCTCTTGACCTCGTGATCCACCCGCCTCGGCCTCCCAAAGTGCTGGGATTACAGGCTTGAGCCACTGCGCCCGGCCCTAATTTTTTGTATTTTTAGTAGAGATGGGGTTTCACCATCTTGGCCAGGCTCGTCTTGAACTCCTGACGTCAAGTGATCCGCCAGCCTCGGCCTCCCAAAGTGCTGGGATTACAGGTGTGAGCCACCACGCCCAGCCTAAATATGCCTTTATCTTGGCATATTTACAGAACAATAAAGATACCATTAGAAAAACATGTAGCACTTACCTGCAACCAGATTGTCTGAAGGTAATTGTTTACTTGATGCTGGACAGCACCTCCTCCAGGTATGACCATTCCTTTTAGGCTACTCACATAGTATAAGTCCAAAAGACTCAGCATTACCCCTGGGGAGTGACCCAAGAACCTGTTTCAACACCTATATATGGTATTTGGAAAGGAGAAGACAGGGAAGACAGACAATGACCTGGGCCACAGCCAGTGTGCAAAGATCATCACATAGCAGAGCTCCACAGGAATCAGTATCTGGGGAGATGGAGAGCAGCACAACTCTTCTCTTCTAGGAGAACAGTTCTGCAGAACGTACAAAGGCTGAAAGGCTGAACAGTATAAGAACTCTACTAGACTTCTATGAACAAAAGGAAAGCCAAGTATCACTGGTTCCTGTAATATGAAATTGCTGAGGCAGTGAGAAAAACTGTGTTGCTGTCAGAAGATTGCCAGTTGGTAATTGTTTTCTAAGGGCCTATTTTTAATAGGAAGGACAACCTACCACCACCAAGTGATTTTCAGAAGGTGTGAAAATAAACTAATAATAACTAAGCCTAAGAGTAGGTGCTACTAAAGACAGAGCAGCAGAAAACTATCTCAATTATACCACTGTGGTCAGAACTACTAAGTCATATCAGAGAAGGAAGCATTGCCTATTAAAGCCAAGTAAATGCTGACTGAAGTCTTGGGGCAGGATCCAGGAATCACATTCATTCAAACAACCTCATAGGAATTGTGCCCATACCCTGAATATGAGAGGCCCTTATACTTCATCCCAACAACCTCTGATGGTTTGAGGATCTTCTCCTATAGCTAATGTTACTGCAGTAATAGAGACCAAGAAATTGAAAGCAGAATTCATTGTTAATTGCAGTCATTAATGAATTTCCCTTATTGGTTGAATGGATTTAGTGAAATAAGTAACCTCAGGACGCTGTAAATTAAATACTAATTTTCAAAAGACAAGGCTTCTTTTTCTGTAGTGAAATAAGAGAGGAACAATCTCTAAGCCTGGTGAATGGCCAGGAAAAGAATGCTGGCAAGGAACTGAATGGCACTTGTCTTCCACAACTGGAAAGACTCAATAAAGTGCCTAATTTAGAAAGAAAGCACATGAGTGGTAAGCTTGAAACTCCAGCTAAGCAGGAGAGTTACTGTAACCACAGATTCTTCCACACCACAGTGGTCTCCAAAAACATCTTCAGGATCTTCTGATGCCAGATAAACACAAACATTCCATTACTTTGTGAATCTATCTGTTTGAAATCATTTGCACGTTCCAAGGATTAGATCATGACTGATGTTGCTGGCAGTTAAATAATTTTGATAGGAAGCAGAAACCCTCACTGGCTTGTGCTCTTATGAAAACCAATTATAAATAAATAATTCCCATTTATGAGCTTATATACAGTCGCTTTTTTGGCCACCAAAAAGTCTGCAGACATTTGAGTCAATTAAGTCTCACTTAAGTGAAGGGCAATTTGTTGAGAAGATAGAAGAAACCAAGGTAACTGAAGAAGAGGTTTTTGGGAGAAGAATATGAAAATATCCCATCTCTCTCTCTCTACCCTAATCTGCATTTTAACTACAGAAAGTCCAATATATGACCACCCTTGAAGAAAAGTAAACAATAGTCAAACTGCTGTTTGTATTTTGTCTTTTGCTCAACCAGTGGGTCTTCATTCAGCATACTTTCTGCACTGCAGGCTGAACTCATTTAAGTACTAAACAGAATTTCTAGTCCTCATTTGAAACCATCCTCTGCAGCGGGCAGACAAAGTAGCTCCTAGGACCATGTTCTTAACATTTAATCTGAGGAAAAATGAGGGTACCAGAGCAGGGCATACAGGTGAAGAAACCCAGAATTCACACAGAGGTGAAAACAAGTAAACAGTCCACAAGGAAGTCAAGACTTTCCAAACCACTTTTCATATTCTTTCCCATCCAGACAGTGCTCACAGGTCTGTCTGGTCATGGTGGGAAGTTAGCAGGTCTAACAGCTATAGTTTAAGGGTATACTGTACTTTGGACAAGATGCTCTGTCATCCTAAGACAATTTAAGTTATCTCATGAACAACTTCCATGATAGCAGCAACACAATGAGTCTAATCCACATGCTGGCTCTTGTGATGAGCGTCACTGTGCCACAGACTGGAGGGGAAACCAGAATACTGCAGCAATGTGGAGCATATAGCATCCCCATGAATTCCTTTGGATTGTGATGGCTACATCTGTGAAGCTGAATATAAGCTTCAACTGTGGTTCCTTGAGTTTGCTCCTGATGCTTTTTTTTTTTTCCCAGACGAAATCTCGCTCCATCACCCAGGCTGGAATGCAGTGACACAATCTCGGCTCACTGCAACCTCCACCTCCCAAGTTCAAGCGATTCTCCTGCCTCATCCTCCCAAGCAGCTGGGATTATAGGTGCACAGTCACCACACCCAGCTGATTTTTATATTTTTAGTAGAGACGGGTTTTTGCCATATTGGCCAGGCTGGTCTTGAACTCCTGACATCAGGTAATCTGCCTGCCTTGGCCTCCCAAAGTGTTGGAATTACAGGCATGAGCCACTGCGCTCGGCCTGATCCTGATTATTTACAAAGATGTGAAAGGGTCTTCAATTCACCAGAGAGGAAACCCATGATGACTCCTCCCAGCCCTGCTTCACCTCAGGGCCCTATTTATAACATTTAATTATAATACATTTCAAAGCCAGCTAAGGCAATGTGTGAGTCTGAGATACTGGATAGCCAAATGGGATAGAGCAGAAATGAATATTCCAGAGGAAAATATCATAATCGTCTTTATAGATTCTAAACTGTGAATCTAGAATCCATATTTCTTCTCTTTGGAAATAAGGACAAAACAGGAAAGAGGCGTAGGACACCTTAAGATATCAAAGAGGTCTTGACTTCTGAAAGAAAGGAAGATTAAACTTGAAGCCTTTCCAGGTTTACCACAATTGTCAAGTTGGTTCAAGGCAATTCACATGCTACAAGTGGAAGAAATGTACTCATAAGATTCTGTTCTGCATTAGGTATGTTGGGAAGTTAAGAATATTTTCAGACTGGGTGCAGTGGCTCATGCCTGTAATCCCAGCACTTTGGGAGGCCGAGGCAGGCGGATCACCTGAGGTCAGGAGTTCGAGATCAGCCTGACCAGCATGGAGAAACCCCATCTCTACTAAAAATACTAAATCAGCCAAGCATGGTGGCACATGCCTGTAATCCTAGCTATTCAAGAGGCTGAGGCAAGAGAATCACTTGAACCCGGGCGGCAGAGGTTGCAGTGAGCTGAGATAGCGCCACTGCACTCTAGCCTGGGAAATAAGAGTGAAACTTTGTTTCAAAATTGTATTTTTTCAATTAGATGGTATGAACAATGAATTAAACCAGACAGAGTGCACTGGTACCAAGTTGACTCTCTACTGTTACTGAGACAACATCTCAGATCTCAGCTTAATAAAGCATCTTCCTTTTGACCTGAGAAAGATCAATTGCCCTATCTGAACTCTGCTTCCTCATCTCAAAAGTGCAGTCTACA